ATTCCTGGGTGGCTAAGCTGGCTGATTGATCCTAGGGTGGAATCCTTTCTTGAACTAAGCTGAAATATATTGAAGTAGAGAAGTAAGTAAAGAGGAAAGAGGAATAGCGATGAACAAAATAATGGTTTTTAATTCCAAAAAGGTCATTAAGCCATGAAACTGATTCCTATAGGAAACAAGATTCAGAGCTATTTGATAATATGTTTATCTATTTGTTCAGTGAATATATATCAAGCTCCTAATAAACTATATACTTTGCTTGTACTGGGAAAATAGCAGTGAAATGAACATGACATGAGCCCTGCTTTCATAAAACTTAAAATTTAGTGTAGAATGAAAACAAAGGAAGCACATCAGGAAAGGAAACTAAAAGAGGAACATCACAGATGGGCGGCTGTTGTCCAATGCCTGACTGTCACACCTTCTACTGATATTTGCATCAGCAGGAAGGGCTGAAAGAAAAGAACGGTGAGGAGGAGATATGCATTGGTATCAAAAGATAAATGACCTTCCAATCACTGGATTCCTTTCCAACAATCTTTGGTTGTGCCACACTCTCCTTATGGCATTTTTCATCTCCGTGTTTCTCAGAGTGTAGATAAGAGGGTTGAGCATGGGAACAATGATTGTATAGAATAGCGTAAACACTTTATCTTCAGGTAAGGTTATGGCAGGTCTAATGTAAATAAAGATGACAGGTGCAAAAAACAGGATCACGACTGTGATGTGGGAACTGCAAGTGGAAAGTGCTTTGCGGCGTCTTTCTGCAGAATATGCTCTCACATTATATAATATCAGCAAGTAGGAGGCCATCAAAACTATGAAGACCGCCAGTCCCATCAGGCCAGAACTGGCAATAACCAAGAAGCCAATCTTGTGTGTATCAGTGCAGGCCAGTTTCAGTAAAGTATATACATCGCAGAAATAGTGATCTATTTCATTAGGGCCACAGAAAGGTAATAAAATTGTAAGGAGAAACAGGCCAAGGGAATGCAGAAACCCTCCTGCACATGATGCTATGAGAATTAAGTTACACATTTGCTTATTCATGATGATGGCATAGTGGAGTGGTTTGCAGATGGCAACATAGCGGTCATAAGCCATTCCTGTGAGGATGAAGACCTCAATACCCCCAAATAAGTGAGTGGTGAAAAGCTGTGCCATGCAGTTATTATAAGAAATGACTTTCCAATCCATCGTTAAGTCAGTCATTAACTTGGGTGTCACAGTGGAGGTGTAGAAAAGGTCTGAAATTGCAAGGTACCTAAGGAAGAAGTACATGGGCTGGTTGATGAGCTGCCTACATGTGATAGAAATCATGATAATCAGATTCCCCAACCAAATAGCTAGGTAAGAGAATA